GCACAAGATATACTACAGTTAGTGACAACCACTTCCTTCTCAGAAAAAGGGGCTGTGGTTTCTTTCACCCTGTGTAAGCAAAAGCAGGCAGCATGTATATCGTGAACATTTACAGGAGTTTCTCAATAATTGAGAATATTTTATTCAGTGAAATAAGGTTGCATCAATGTCATCTACATAAAAAGATACTTGTTACCTACTCCATAGTGTTCTATGCAGAGAAAACAGGTTTTCTGCATCTTGGAAGTCTATGCCACTGACCAGAACACTTATGTGGACAAAAGGAACAGAGTAAAGACAGCTGAGCAAATACTAAATTAATATTAATGCCTTCAAAGATAGAGTGAGTACATAGTATTAACTGGGGATTTTGGCAGGAAAACTTGTGGAACATGTGCTTGGGCTAGACAAAACCGGGTCTTTGGATAATTCACAAAGTTCTCACCAATTAATCATCATGCAATGTGGCTGGTTGATAAAAATGATAAAATTAATTTGGCTTTTTTAGGCTATAATCTAGACCTGTTTTGGAGACTTGGAGTTCCCCCTAGAAAGATTCTATGAACATTCTCAAAACATGTAAGTTCTTCATTGCTTGCTAGTGACAGCTCAATAGTCTTTTAAAATTAGGAAGAAAGCAAATGGAGGAATGAACTATTTTATTAATTTGAATAAAACTAAATCTGCTTTTTTTGCTTTACTTTGCTTCTTTGCTTAAACGAAGCAACTGGTAAAAAATAACATTTTGGGTAACTCTAAAATGAAGAATTTTTTCCCCTCATGTATTTTGAATCGCCCAACAGACTCAGTGAAGAAGACACTAATAATATACCCATTTTGGGGTATGATGCCACCAACAGGTCAACCTGTACATGTGGGGCGAGTGCATCAGCAGCCTGATGGTGTTGCAAGGCTTCATGACACCCCAAAATTGCCACTTTGGCCGGACCACAACAACTTGAGACTAAGTTTACCAAGAAATTAATTGGCCAAAAGTTAGGTATGTGGGAACCATGCCCACAAACCACCTCCTGCTCAGCTATACAAGCTCATTTGTTGGCCTTATTTCAGAGATCAACTGATAAATCTCAAAAGAGATCAAAAGCTACAGTTAATCTTGGACCCATTCATGGTGGAACATACTAGGGTGAATCGGAGGGGGGAAGGTTGGTCTGTGTCTGCCCAAGCAGAGCCCCCAGCCACCACTTGCTTCCACAATCCAAAATCGCCACCATACCCCCGGCCTGACTCCACTGTCTCAGGAAGGACCTCACCAAGTTATAATCTCCTGAAAATTTGGGTATGCGGGTTTTGTGATGGAAATCTCCAGGCTTTCACGGAGTTGGGGTGGGTTACCTTCCCCCACTTCTCAATACACATGGAAGCACTGGCAGTCACCCCCACAAACGAACTCCAGCACCACCCTGTAAACTCTATTACTGGCCTTGTTTCAGAGACCCATAAACAAATCCCAAAAGAGATCAAAAGCCAGAAACACAGCAGCGAGTCCTGGAAGACACCACAGAGCCAGAGATCCCTCCAGGCCCCATACCGAGCCAATTTCACCGGGGCACCCTAGATGGAGTAGGTGCAGTCTCCCCACATACTCCAGATGGAATCCCAGCAACCAAGAACTTTCACAAACAAGGCCCAGGAAAGCGGGTTCCAGGACTAAATCTCCATGCCACATGGAGGCAGAGGTGCCAGGCTATTCTTCCCTGGTTCCCCACCTGCTCATCCGCCTGGCTGTCACCCCCACAATGTGCCTCCAGGCGCCATCTTAATGTACCAACAGCCCTGGTCCAGTGATGCCCAACTGAAACCCATAATGAATTAGTGGCCTACAGAAATGTCTCTGGAACCCAACCATTTACAATCTAGGATTCTAGGACTGCGAGGCCATGGTACCCAAGATATTCAAAATGAGCAATGGACAATAAATGGTCTAGCATCTGTCCCTGTCAGGCAGGCTTGAATGGAGGTGTGAAAATTTCAGCGAAACATAATGCCCGAAAGTAGAGAGAGAGTATTGGGGAAATTGCCTGCCATGGAGGCAGGGTGAGGACTGGGATGGGGGAAGGGGATATACTGGGGACAGTGGTGGTGGAAGGTGTGCACTGGTGGAGGGATGGGTGTTCAATCATTGTACGGCTGAATCTCAAACATGAAAGCTTTGTAACTGTATCTCACAGTGATTGAATAAAAAAAAAAGTAATGTGGAGTTCATGCCCAATTCAATCAGCTCAATCAATGGCTGAATAATAGCAGTACTCCTACATTAAAAAATTTTTAAATATGCCCATTTTACATATAAGATACAGAAGAGTGAAGTAAATTTCTTGTATCCTAAAAATGCAAATGATCTTTAATATTTAAGATGCCTCGAGGTAAATTTATCATAGGTAGCAAGTAGGCTGAAAATCTTATGAAGACATTTCATAATGTACTTAATAATAACTAAGGTATTTAATAATGTATTACTAAATTCTATGCATTAAAAAAAAGATACTTGGGGCTGGAGTGATAGCACAGCGGGTAGGGTGTTTGCCTTGCATGCAGCCAGCCTGGGTTTGATTCCCAGCATCCCATGTGGTCCCTTGAGCATTGCCAGGAGTAACTCACGAGTGCAAAGCCAGGAGTAACCCCTGAGCATCACCAGGTGTGACCCAAAAAGAAAAAAAAAAGATACCTAGTACCGGTAGGTGGCAAATTCAGTGCAATATACCTATTGTTGAACTATGTCATTGGTTCTGGCCTCAACAAGCTCACAATTAATTCAAAAGGCAAGGCTGTGAATATTCTGTAGACATTCAAAGATATGAAGACCAAGGAGAACTTATTCTTTGGGGCTCATTATAAAAGAATCAGACAAGATGAGGTACATACAAACTCAGGTGCATACAAAGAGAAAAACAGCATACCCCCTCAAGAATGCAGCTGTCAGAACAAATTTTTAGTTGTTGAATGGGAGAGTAAAGTGTTTAAGGAAAATTAATCTGGATGTCATGCGGTTTAGTTTCAATGAGAGGAAAATGACACAGGCTTTTTTCTAGCAATAGTGTCACTATTGCTAGAACTCAGGTGCATATAGAGAGAGAGAAAAAAAAGAAGTCTCACAGGGAAATTTTCAGATAGAGGAGACATTAACATTAAAAAGCAATTAGTTCCAATTGCTAAGGCTTAGTGATTGATCGGAGAAAAATACAAAGGAAAATACACATTTTCCACTATAATTTAAAATCAAAGGAACTCTGAAATATCATCATTAGTGACAGAACCAGAGATAAATATCAAAGAGTTAGTAGTAAAAGAGAAGGATCTTTCTTTCTTGATTTTTTTTAAAGATAAGTGTCTTTTATGGGGCAGTATTCTTCTATTATTCCTTTTAGTATTAAGTGTGACACTCTCATAAATGTTTTTTAAGCCTCTTCCTGGAAAAGAGGACTATATCAAAGAGAGTAGAAGACAAATACATAGAAGCATCAAGGTATGCGCCAGGGTGCACTTTCCACAAACATGGAGATTAGACGGTTTAGACTGCAGGCCTAGGTGCAAACTGCAAGTGGTCCTAGGGGAAAGAAGCCAATTTGGTAAGCACTCACAGCTCTCGCCCACCCCTGCCAATTCTCCACCCCACTGCCATGGACAGTAAGTGGATGTCTTGGGTAGGAATTTAATACACAAAATTTTTTCTACACTGCAGTCACTATCACCTTTCTCTCCCAGTCCTATCAAACTTGCCTCCTAGACCAGCGGTTCTCTACGAGATACCATATTACCCTTATGAGCCCTCGGAATGTTCCAAGGGGGCACAAGTGAAAATTGCAAAACCAGGGGACCATGAAGAAGACTCGAGGGCCAACAGGTAGGACAAAGAGGCCTACTAGTGAGAAGGGGGCCACAGTGGGGAACAGATTGAGAAACACTGGTCTAGACAATCAAGAAAAGAATAATGGAACTTACCAAAAAGAGAGATGAACACAAATACTCAAAATTGTTTTTGCAAACAGCTGTTAGCATGTTTTCCAGTTGAGTATCCCATGGGTCTGAAAAAAATTGAAGCTAGCACTGAAAGTATCTGCATGGAGTTAGTTTCTTTTCCTTTGGTTCATTAAGGGCAGATGGTAGTGAATTACATCCTGGTTTCCATATATATGGTAGGGGTTTTTTTGGTTTTGTTTTTGTTCTGTTTTATTTATTTTTGGTTTCGGGTCACCTGGTGGTGCTCAGGGCTTACTCCAGGCTCTGTGTTCAGGGATCACTCTCCGCAGTGCCCTAGGGACCAAACCCAGGTCACCCCCTTGAAGAGTAAGTGCCCTATCCCGCTGTACTATTTCCCCAGCCCAATGTCAATGGTAGTATTTTATCTCAGTTAAAATTGTTTTCAAATTTAGCCTAGCAGTTGTAGTTCCCCTCAACGCTCCTAATCACCGTGTCCAACTAGAAAAGTCTAAATAAAACAAAGAGGAACAGGAACTTCCACATGACAAGCGCTTAAACTTAAAGTGTGTGCTTCTTGATATTTAGTCTTCAAAGACAAACAAAAAAAAAAAAACAAGAAAGGCATGCGGTACACAGCCTTGAGGCCAGATGTTGGCAGAGTTCTAAACTTCCACACACACACCGCCCGCACTTGGAAAGCTCTCCCAGAAGGGACTACATTTCCCAAGAGCGCACGCGGCACGAGGACCGCGAAGTGCATTGTGGGAAATGTAGTCCGGCTTGACTCGCTCCCCTCGCCCGTCCCGCACTCACGCTCTAATTGCCGAGTGGTTGAACCCAGCAGCGCCCAATTACCTGGGGCCATGTCGGTGAGGCCGTGGCCCAACCGGGGGAGCCGGTGTGGGAGGCTCGAGTCCTCATTGGCCGAGGCGTGACCCGGGGGGCGGGGCCATAAGGTGGGCGCGCAGACGGCGGGGATTGGCCGGGCGGCCCACGACGGCGGCCGCGGATTGGCCGGGCGCTGGGGCAGGGAGGCCTGGGAAGGGGCGGAGGAAGGAGAGCCGAGCAGGAAGAGCAACGGCGAGGCGGTGGCGGTGGCTGAGTTGGTGGCGGTGGCAGCGGCGACAGCGGCAGCTCCAGGGGGTTGGCAGCGGCCCCGAGAGCAGGATGCGGGTGTGGGTCGGACTGACGCTGCTGCTCTGTGCTGTGTTGCTGCTGGGTTCGGCCTCGGCGTCCTCGGGTCAGTATCCGCCCCCCTCGGGCCGGAGGCCCGGAACCAACGCCCCCCCACCCCCCACCCCCGCACCCCGCCCCGGCACCCCCACCCCCAGCCCCGTGGCTTCTGTCCTAGGGCTGGGCCGTGGGGGCTCCCGAACTGGGGGGGGGGGCTCCCTCTGCGGGCACACCACGCACGCACCTGTCACTCGCGGGGCTTCTTTGGACTTGGCTTGACTTGGGTCAGAGGGGGGGTGGTGGTAGGGAACCACCGGAGAGGGGAGGGACAGGAGGAGTGGTCCCCCTCGCTGCCATCCCCTGGCTGCCCCACCAACTTTCCAGGACAGAGGAGGAAGCGACTCCACGGGCACGGATCCGGGCTGCCGGCTCAGACACTCACAGTGACAGCTGAACCCGGTGGCGGGGAGCTGAGCCTCGACTTCCCTTCTCTGCTGCCCGGGGCTCGGGGACTCCCGGGGTTCGTTGGATGGAGCAATCCGGCTGTCACCCGGCAGGGGACTGGGCCGGCCGCAGCAGGATGTGGACAGTAGTGGTTTGGTCCGTGTGTCCAGCAGCCCGGCGGATCTCTGGGTCTCTTCCTGGCAAAGTGCACATCTGGTGTGGTCAGCCCAGCTGCCGCCCACCTTTTAATAGTTTCCAAGAGAGATGCCTCGACTTGTTCCATGTTTGGTGGCACTTGGTTTTTTTTTTTTTTTTTCATTTTATTTTTCATTTTATTTTATTTTTGAGGGACTTTGGGTCTCTGTCGATTTGAAATGAATCGCACCTGGTTTTAATTTTAAGTCTTTCTATAATGGAGGAGACGTATGTGGTTTTCAATCGATTTTTCTAAGCTGTTGATTAATAATCTGCTTCTGAAGATAGCTTCTTTTTTTTAAAAAAAAAACTGTCTAGGTCTGAAAGCGGCTATTTTGAGTGTGTTGGTAAAGAAACATCAAGCTTTTCGCGTTTTAGTCAGTTTCAATTAGCAAGGCAGCTGCCTGTGGCTTTAAATTTTGTAGAACAAGGCAGAGTATAAATGTCAACTATTTTTTTTTCCCCCAACAGAATATTTCCCAGATGGTTATTTGAGTCCCCAGATTATCTGTCCTAGTTGTAAGTCAATGCCGTCACGTCATTCTGCTGCTAAAATAGGTCTGAACCTAAAATTCTATCCATAATGTGGTTTGAGATATTATTTCAGAAGCAACAAGCAAGCATATGTTTGTAGCTTTACTGTTAACATTATGCTTGGTAACACCCCCCTTTTTTATTGATGGTCTGCCTTCACGAGCGAATGCTGAAAACTTCCCCTAACTCTTAAGCACACCTAGTAGTTATTTCTCAGCAGAACTAGGAACTGCAGCTGTTGCATATATAATGCAGGGTAGGGAATTCGATGGACCTGGGATCACCTGCCTCAGAAATCCCCTGAAGATTTGTTTTAAAATGCAGTTTTCGAGCTGAAACAGTAGGGGTAATCTGTAGCTTCACAAACTCAGTAAGTGATTCTTCATTTTAAACTTTGGGATCTGGTTTGTAACGACTGTAGCATATATCCCTTTGATTTCAGTTTATAGATGTAAAGAAAATTCAGGCATGCAGACATTTTCCTGCATCATTCTTTGCCTAGGTAGCCTGTGTTTTGAGCTCCATATTGATGATGATGCTACTTAGAGAAGTCATTTAACCAACAGTTGAGGTTCTCAGGACTCTAGAATTAGAAAGCTGTTGTTACTGATCATTGACACCGAAGTGTTAAATCCTTGGGTCATATTAATGTAGGCAAACAACTACTGGGTTCAGGAACAGTCTGCTCTGATTGCCATCATAGTTACACTGTGCCAAAACATTTTTTTGGAGGGGGTTTGAAAGCCACATCTGCCAGTGCTCTGGAGCTACTCAGCTTTCTGCTCAGCTACTAAACCAAGATCACTTGCATGCAAGAAGGCACCTTAACCCAATATTTTTCTTTTTCTCTGACTTCCCCACAACCTTCCCCCCCCCCAACATTTCTTTGGCAGAGACAAACAAAACAGACACTGTCCTCCCATTGTGCATCGATTTGCTTGAGCGGGTCCAGTAACATCTCCCATTTTGAGACTTGTTGTTATTGTGTTTGGCATATTGAATATATCATGGATAGCTTGCCAGGCTTTACCCTGTGGGCAAGATACTCTCTGTAACTTGCCGGGGTCTCTGAGAGGGGCAGAGGAATCGGACCTGGCTCAGCCGGGCTGGCTGCGCGCAAGGCAAACACCCTACTGCTGTGCTGTTGCTCCAGGACCACTTCTATATTAAAACAGTTTTGGTGTTTGTACGTTGCAGGTAGTAAAGGCAGTATGTGACTCACATAAAGTTAAAATACGGGAAAACTTAATGTGAGTTTTATATATTGAGTACATCTTTTGTTTGCTTACTTTTTTTTTTTCAGCAGATACTTTTTGTGTTTTCGGGTCATACCCTGCAATGTTCAAGGCTTACTCCTTGAGCGTTGTGCTCTGTGCTCTGTGCTCAGGGATCACTCCTGGTGGTGCTCAGGGGACGATATGGGGTGCTGGGGTGCTCCAGCCCAACAGTTGGCTCTTATATTGATAATATAAGTTGTTAGCTTCTAAAGTTTTTTTAAGTTTAAATTTGAAGATTTGCTTCTGTTTAAAATTAATTTTTTTTTTTAATCATGATATCATGCTGATTTAGAATTTGTTAGTGGTTTTCGGGTCAAGCTGCATTTCTTTCAGGGCCTGGGGACTTCCCATAGCGCAGGGGACCACTTGGTTATTTTCAGCCACCGGGCCAGACAATGCAGGGACCCCAGGATGTGGTGCTGTTTGGGCCCTGTAGTTCCAGGGACCAGAAGAGTCACCCCAGTGTTTGGAAATATCCAGGGCTATCATCAGTGATGCCGACGGATGGGGGCATGCAGTACTGGGGCTCAACCAGGGTTGCTGCATGGGAAAATGAACCCTTCATCCCCGTACACATCTCCCTGGCGGTCAGGTTGCCTTATTTTGTTTGGGTTTGGGGTGGGCTGCTTCCAGCAGTGCCCAAATCAGTGCTCGAGGTCACTCCTGGCCCTGCTCAGGGACTTTGTGGTGCCAGCTTTGGGACCCGGACCTCCTGTGTGCCAAGTAGGCTCTCCAGCTCAGCGACCTCACTCTCTGAACCTCAAGTTACATTTCTTACTGGGTAGAGTATCATTGCTCATTAAAGTAACCTTGGTCCTATCACTATTACCAGCTGTTATTTTAACATCTTACTAGTTTTAAAGGCATGCAGAAATTCACTTTTATTAGAATACTGCCCCCCCCTCCCCCCCCCGTGAAGAAATTAAAGGAAGAGATTTAAGACTTAGGGCCCTCCTTAGGGGCTGCGAGATAGTACAGTGGGTAGGGCACTTGCCTTGCACACATGCAGCCAACCGAAGTTCCACTTATGTCCCCCTGAGCTGCTGCAGGAGTGATCCCAAAGCACACTTGGTGACAGCTGAACTCTTTGGGAGCTTCCTCAACTCTCCTGGACTCTGCATAGAATTTTAGTGTTCTTTTCTGCCTTAAATCCCAGTTTCTTCAACTGGTTTGTGACCTATCATACAACTTTGTAAGATGTTTTGAAATAAACTTGTGGGGGGCTGGAGAGATAGCACAGTGGGTAGGGCATTTGCCTTGAACACGGCCGACCCGGGTTCGATTCCCAGCATCCCATATGGTCCCCCAAGCACCGCCAGGAGTAATTCCTGAGTGCAGAGCCAGGAGTAACCCCTGTGCATCAAAAAAAATAAACTTGTGGTTTATTGTCAGTATATACTTGATTTATATATCTATTTTCTATACTTACATCCAGGCTTATGTAAAATTGCTATTGTGGAGAGAGACAGGGCCAGTAGTGAGAAAATATTAAGGAGGGCTGCTTTCAAACACTAACTCAGCAGACAGGCGGCATTCCCTTAACTTCCTTTGACAAATTAAGAAAATATTGACTGGTAAGCTTGTATTATCCATCCCCTTTGCCACATGCTCTCCATTTTCTTTCTGCTCATAATTTGGTCCACAGCTGACAGAGCTTGGGGACTCCTCCTGACTGAGTTCGGGACTTGCTCTGACTGAGCTCTGGGACCACGCGGTGCCAGGAGGTGGAGGAACAATGCATGTATTCAAGCCTGTTGAACTGTCTCCCGGCCAGGTTTAAACCTCTTTGGAATAATTGAGTGCATAGGAGTAATAATGAGAAGTGGTCTGGGAATTACACAGATTTTTACTGGCAAAGCAGGAGACAGAGTGTCTGGTTTCTTGGTTCCGGGCCTATGCCCAGTGGTGATGCTTGGCAGGACTTTGTACAGTTAATCTCGAACTGGTGCTCATGGGGACCACCCTTGAACCTCCCAGGTTCTCCGGCCCTTGGAGCTATGTCTTTGGCCCCTAGAATGCCTGACCGCTTCCTGCCAAACTGTTTGGCTTTCAGGGGGGTTAGCAGTCTGTGAAGCTATGTCTGTGGTCCCCAGAATGTCTGACCACTTCTTTTTTTTTTTTTTTTGGCTTTTTGGGTCACACCCAGCGATGCTCAGGGGTTAGTCCTGGCTCATACACTCAGGAATTACTCCTGGCAGTTCTTGGGGGACCATATGGGATGCTGGGCATTGAACCCGGATAGGCCCTGTGCAAGGCAAACACCCTACTTGCTGTGCTATCGTTCCAGTCCCCTTCTGAACGCATCTTATCAAACTGTTTGGCTTTTGAGGGGGTTTAGCAGTCTGTGGTGTGAGGCTCGGAGTGACTTGTGCTGGGTTTCTCTTGGGGAAGCTGCTGTTCTCGGATAGTCCTGGGCTTCCAGCACCTTCTCTGAGCTCCAGCCCTTTGAGCTGTCTCAGCCCTGTCCACTCCAGACAGGGTTGAAGGTTTATCAGTCTTTGGGATTTGCATCACAAGTGGGGAAATGAATGTGTAATGATCATTTACAGAAGAGTATGTCTGACACCTTGCCCTTTTCTTCACTGATATAATAAAGATGAAAATTGGTCTTTTTTTCCCCCCACAGAAAGGCACACAATTACTAAAGAAAGTCAGTTGTATTAAGGTGATACTGTTGAGTGAGAAATTCCTAACTTTATGGAATAATTTTTGCTTTTTTTTTTTTTGGTTGCTTAATACCTGTGTTGTGATAGAAAGAAGTACTCTTTGCTTTTTATTATGCATAGTTGTTGTGTCTTACCTGACTAGAAGTCGCTGGGCAACCTCTCCAAAAGTGTTCTATGTGGAGTGGTACATGTAAGTGTGGTGTATTCACGTAAATGGATATATCAGCTTGATAAAGAAGCTCGCTTATGCTTTAAGACTACCATCTGGATTAGGCTTTCCCAGGTTCGTAAATGAGAATGAATTCCTACGTGTCAGTACCCCTTGAATATGATCCTAGTTTGTGAGGAAAGGAGAGAGAAGCATGATGCAATTCAGATGAAATAAGGCTGATGTCACAAGCATCCACATCTCTTGGAATTCAAACACACTAACACCTACCTGCTTGTAGTGTCTCAAACATACATATTTCTTTCTTTCTTCACAGGTCTCCACATTAGTAATTGAAGTTCAAAAGTTGGGCATATACAATGTGCATTTACACATTTAATGTCTGCTCTTGATAAATTAGTTAATATCTGTGATTACATAGCTTTCCTATTGAAAAGAGTTACATTTGTCCCTTTGTGCAGAGATTTGTGGAGAGTGAAATTTGAACTATTATATTAGAAAATGGAGTTGATGCCTGTGAAGAAGGTAGCAGAGAAGTGATTTTTGGTTGGCATCTGCCCAAACGCTGTGGGCACTGTGAAATTGATACTGCTATACTCTTCTCTTCACCTATCAGAAATAAAATATGTTTTGGCTAGCAAGAAATAGAATTAGAAGAGGCCGGGTTTGGAGAGAGAGTCCAGTCAGTTGGACGCTTGCCTTGCACACCGCCTCCCGGGGTTTGATCCCCGGCTCTCCGTGTTGAACCTCGAGCCTGGCCAAAAGTAAACTCTGATCACAGAGCCGGGAGTAAGCCCTAAGCACCACTGGGTGTGGCCCCAAAAAACTGAAAACAAAACAAAATAAGGAATTTCAAGAGGCCAGGGAAAAGTAGTAATAGGAAAACATAGAAAGATTGATTAACATAGGGACCAGAGTGATAATTCAGTAGGTTTGGTGCTTGCCATGCATGCGGCCCACCCAGGTTTGATCCCCAGCATCCCATACGGTCTTCTGAGCACCATCTGGAGTAATTCCTGAGTGCAGAGCCAGGAGTAAGCCCTGAGCACCACTGGGTATGGCCCCCAAAAAAGAAAGAAAAAAAAACATTAACATAATAGAACTAAGTCAAAGTAACATTAATATGGGAAAAAATGTATAATTAGAGACTCTACTTATTTATATGCTTAAATTATTTTATCTACTTAATCAGATCTTATATGAGTACATGAGCATATGATAACACTTTTCACATATATCTGGTTATCTTTTCAATAAAATGAAACACAAGTTGTAAAAATCTTAACCGGCAACTTTGTGGTCAAAAAATCCTTAGTTCCCTTCTTTAGTGAACTGTAAAATGGTAATACCCACTAAGTCTAAGTTCTGAGTAGGGTGAATAGGTGAAATCCTACATCATAAGATTATATTTACAAAGTGGATAGCTCACTCTCCATAGTACACCAGATGCTTATACAGGGATGAGATGTTTTCCTTAAGAAGTGTCCTCTGTGTAGCAGATGAAGCTCATCTTTCCTGGTGAAAGAAAACAACCGGCTCCAAACTTCTCTTAATTTTTCTAAATAGTTCCTGAAATCAATTTGTAGGTTGTTCTAGAGTTAATATTCAGTGTGTGTGTTGTTGCTTGTACTTATCAAGTGCTTTCTTTCAGTAATACATGTAGCTGGAGAGAGTCCAGCAGTAGGTTGCTTGTACGCCACGGACCCGGGTTTAATCCCAGAACCCTCAGTGTTCCCTCAGGCACTGCCAGGTGGAGTCCCAAACCCAATAACAATACAAGAAAGATGACTAAATTATTTTCACATTTATTTGCAGATGAAGAAGGTGGCCAGGATGAATCATTAGATTCCAAGGTACGTAGTAAGTTTTGCATTGAACTAATATTTCATGACCATTGTTATGCTTATTAGAAAGGATATAAGATCTTCTATTTTTAGCAGTAGAATTGAGATTTAAAAAAAAAAAAAGATTGCTGGTGCCCATATTAATTTTAGTTCTTCTAGGGAAAGTCTATTACGGGCCTCTTTTTATTTTTTTTCCCCTCTTTTTTTTTTCTTTTTAATTTTTGAAGTATCATTCATTCTCGGGCTGGGGTGATAGCACAGTGGGTAGGGCGTTTGCCTTGCACACAACAGACCCAGCTGACCCAGGCTCGATTCCTCCTCCCCTCTCGCAGAGCCCGACAAGCTACCGAGAGTTTCTCGCCCGCACAGCAAAGCCAAAGCCTGGCAAGCTCCCTGTGATGTATTCAATATGCTAAACACAGTAACAGCAAGTCTCACACTAGAGACATTACTGGGCCCACTCGAGCAAATCTGTGAACAACGGGAGGACAGTGACATTCATTTCCACTAGGTTCCCCCCATCACCTCCAAAAGAATTACAAGTTAATACACTTCAGTTGTTTGAGTGGGTGAATAAGGCTTATTATTTAGCTATCTAAGGCACACAGATCACTTATGATCCCCCTGATTCCTGGATTAGCGGGAATACAGATAAGAAGCAGGAAGTTATAATACAGGACTATGATAGGGAAAATACAAAATACATTGTGAGAATGAAAGGAAAAACCCTAATACAGACTTTGGAAATTAAGAACGGCTTCTCGATGACTATAACATCTAAGTTGAAATGGAAAGTCTAGGAACATAAAAGAAAATAAAACGGTAGAGTGTTTGCCTTCCATGTACAAGACCCCAGGTTAATCCCTGGTACAGAAAACAATTTTTTTTCAAAAGCCCTGGTTGCTGATGAAAGTCTGAGACAGGCATGTACCAAAGGTATAGAGCTAGTTCACAGGGGTGCGTTCCATGCTGATGCAGCCACCGCCCAGCTCCAGAGTCTAATTTCACCTACTTTGTGGGATTCTCTCTTTCTTTTTCTCTCTAAATAACCTCATCTTCTCCTTAGAATGGACATGCCTCTTCAGTAAAAGTATTTTTCTTCACAAAAAGAAAAAAAAATGTTTGGATGGCACATTCAAGGAGCTGAAATATAGCTAGATTAGTAGAAGTTAGGATCACATTAGGTTGGAGTGTGCCTTGGTACTATTGAGTCTAAAATGCTTTATATTCTCAGACTTCTTTGCCATCAGATGAGTCCGTAAAAGACCACAGCACGGCGGGCAGAGTAGTGGCTGGTCAGCTGTTTCTTGACTCAGAAGAATCCGACTTGGAGTCATCTCTTCCCGAAGAGGACACCCTCCGAATCCCAGACGAGGAATCTGTCTCGGAAGAAATCAGCTTTCTGGACTCTGCAAATCCAGACAACAAGGACTATGAAGAACTAACGGAAGTACAGAAACCAGGTAGTTTGGACCTTTGCTTTGCTTTGGTTTGCTTTAGGATTGAAGTCACTGACATCTTAAAATTAGTGTAGAATGATGTTGCTGAAGAAGTCTTAGTTTTACTGGTTAACTGCATATAATTCATAGAGTAGTTTTACAGGATTTTCTAGACTGTACTAACCTTTTCAGTCATCCTAGGTAATTTGACTCAGGTGCTTATCCCTCGCCTCTTGAAACTTACATAAACTTTAATCCTCTTTTTAATTTTTACTTTCTTAACATCCTGTACTTTTCTATTTAAAAGCTGATTTTTATCACAACGAAGTATGCAAAATACCTGTCCTTAAAAAGTGTCTTCTCTCTCCTCTTTTTCATCAACTTTCCCTCGTTTATTTCTTTCAAAATTCAACTCTTTTGCTATTAACCACTCTTGGGAATTTATCCACATTCAGAATTTGTGTGTGTGTGTGTGTGTGTGTGTGTGTGTGTGTGTATGTGCGTGCAGGTATGTGTGGTGGTTGGGATCAGACTCAAGGCCTTACATGTGCAAAAGCAAGTGCTCTTAGCACCAAATTTAATCCTTAGCCCTCAGATTTGAGCTTTTAAAAAAAATTTTATTTCAAGTATTTTGTATTTATGAGTATGTAATCTTTTGTGGGGCCTGAGTAGGGCACTTGTCTTGCATGCAGCTGGCCCAGATTCTATCCCCAGCATCCCACATGCTCCTCTATCCAGCACCAGAAGTAGTCCTTGAGCATTGCTGGGTATGGGCCCAAAAAAGAAAAAAAAAATTAACTGCTTTAATCCCGTTAACTTGAAGAAGCAACTTAAAGCAATTGTTAAAAAGGGTACATTGTGTTTAGGGAGGAGAGCAATAGTACAACAGATAGGAGACTAGCAGTGTACACTGCAAACCCAGGTTCGATCCCTAGCACCCAGTATGGGTCCCTGAGCCCACCACAAGTGATCCGTAAGTGCCGAGCCAGGAGGAAACCTGAGCACCTATGTTGGACCAAATCCCAAAATAAGAACAAAATAAACAGTGTTTCGGGAAATAAAATGATACAGAAAGTAATCTGCTGATCACAAGTCCTAGGTGAACCCCAGATGAGAAGGTCTCAGAGGCAAGGTTGGGGAAGGGAGGAGTGTGGAAACTGTGTACATAGACTACTCTAAACCCATGTCCTCAGCTGTAGTAGTTTGTCTTTAAAAAAAAAAAAAAACAAGACTAAGTTTTGTCAAAATGTATATACCAGACTGGGGAAATAATTCAGGCCTTAAAATACTTGCCTAGGTTTTGTAAGACCCTGGTTTTAGTGCTGCTTGAATTTTGTATTTGATATAAAAATGTTTAAATATTTTTATAAATTAGCACTGTCCTCCCGTTGTTCATTGATTTGATCAAGTGGGCCCAGAAACGTCTCCATTGTGAGACTTGTTGTTACTGTGTTTGGCATATGGGATACATCATGAATAGCTTGCCAGGCTTTGCCGTGTGGGCGAGATACTCTTGGTAGTTTGCCGGACTCCTCAAGAGGGGCGGAAGAATCGAACCTGGGCCAACCGGGTCAGCCACATGCAAGGCAAACTGCCTTCCCACTCTGCTATTGCTCCAGGGGCTGGAGTAATATTATAGCAGGTAGGGCATTTGTCTTGCACGTGGCTGTCTTGGGTTCTATCCCTGGCATCATGTGCGGTCCCCTGAACCCACCAGGAGTAATTCTTGAGTGCAGAGCCAAGAGTTACTCTTGGGCATCATCAGATGTGGACCCAAATCAAAATAAAATTGTTTGTTACGAGGTTGTTTTAGTTGTCTGAGAGAGCTTGAAGGCGTACTTTGCATGCAGAAGCCTCAGAATTCATTTCGAAATTCCTAGCACCTACATGGTTCCCCCAAGCTCTGCAGCGCCATCCTCCCCACCTTGCAAAGATAAATTTCCCCAAGGTAACCCCAACACCAAACAAAACCAAGAAGTCGCATTCAAATCCTCTGGGCTTCAGGGATATGCACTGTGACTGAGTTGTCATTTCTGATAGACCTTGACTGACAGGACTAAGAGGTGTCTCACTCTTACTGATCCTTTTGAGCCAAACTCTGTACTATAGGTGAGATGGAACAAAGAGCAGAGTTGACGGATTGAAGTCATACGAATCCGAGCTCTTACCCAGTATGGAACCTGGCTAATTTTTTTCAAGAGATACAATTTTCACAAGATTCAGGGAAAGTGCAGAAAACACCATGACTGAGCTGTTCCCAGTTCCTGACTTGCCTCAGTTGGGATGTGCTGCCGCCCATATTTTAACATATGAGGGCTCTGAGTGCATATGGAGTGTGACTTCTTTAAAACGAGCTATTTTGGTTGTGGGACATTTCCAATTTGTTCTCTAGGAACTGCAGTGTGTGTGTGTGTGTGTGTGTGTATTTTCCCTCCTCCTAGTATGTCACGCTTTGTGAAATACATAAATCTCAGCATAGTGCATACTCTAACCTAGGGTTTTTTAAACTTTTTTCCACTCATGACCCCTTTTTGTTGTCGTTGCCGGGGAGAGGGTGGGTGGAGGGGGGGTCCACAGTGCTCTGTGGATACCTAGCGGTGCTCAGAGTTTATTCCTGCATTTAGAAATCACTCCTAGAAGGGCTTGCAGGACCATATCTATGGGATGCTAGGTATTGAACGAGGTTTGCTATATGTAAAGCGAATTCCCTAACCTCTGTAAAATGGTTCTAGCCCCTCATGGCCCCTTTTCACCAGAAAAATGCAACATGAATGAGCATTGCCAGAAACTCTTCAGATGTATTATGCATCAGCACACTCAGAAATCTTTAACTGTTCACCAGATTTTTCGAGAACCCCCACCACCACGTCCCCATATGGGATTGCAACCAGTAGTTTAAGATGTCTTAATAAGTCTAGACAGATTGAGTTGATCCCCGCTCAAGCATTCCATCAGTAAGGGCTCTCCCAGGAGAAAATAGGATTAGTTTGTTTGCCAGGTGACCTATTGTTTCTAAGGTAATTCAATGACATTGCCCTGTGTCTTGGTAAGAGAATGAATGACAGACCTGCTGCCCGCCCTGCTGTCGCCCCTTTAGGAAAGGGGGTAGATTCTTTCACCTTGGTATCTTTTCCTGAGACTAAAAATCTCAATACCTAACAACTTTATTCTGACACTTGAATATGTATCATGCATATACATGGTGTCAAATTGACGCTGACAGCTTTACTGCTTATAGTAGGACTGCTTGGGTGCAAAGATGCTGTATGAGTCTTCCAGTTCTTAGTATATGTTTTGCTAGGGCTTGTAACGGGTTATTTTAAATCACTTGAATAATTAGATGGCGATTCCAGTGATACACATTCAGATTCATTTTGTTTTAGGTTTTAGGGGTGAGGGGAGTGGGGGGAGGTTGGAGCCACACCCAGTCGTGCTCAGGCTCCCCCTGGCTCTCTGCGCAGGAGTGACTCCTGCCAGTGCCTGGGGAGGGCTGTCGTGCTGGGGACTCAAACCGGGATCAGCAACACTCAAGGCAGGCTCCTTAACCTTTGTACTCTCTCTCCAGACCCCCATTTTAGTTTTTTGCCTGGGGACCACGCCCAGCAGTGCTCCTGTGTCACTCCTGGCACTGTTCAGGGAACCACAGACAGATGCCGAGATTAGCTTGGAGCTCCTGCATGCAGCGCCTGCGCTCGAGCCCATCGACCTTTCACTCTCACGTAGTTTGAGTCTTTAATAATTTTTATTTTTCTTTCCATGTAGATGTTTTTCCCATAGTAGTAAGGCACTGGGAAATGCTCCAGTATATAACACAAGTTGCACAGGAGCTGTTTTGTGTGTGGTTTGCAACTACAAACTGGGACGTGTAGCAGTTACTCCCGGCCTGGCTCCCTAACTCAGCCTCCCCCCCATGGCACCATCGTTCGGATCTGAATAGAACCCACACCCGATCCTGTCGTTTCCCTGCGTACAGCCCCGCCACTTCTCCCCACTTGGCTGCGAGATGAAATGTGCACTTCTGTGTCTGGCGGGCCTGCTGGCCTCTGTAACTGCATCTCCCCGGCTCTGCCCCAGGTCCTTTCAACAGTACTGATGCCCATTCTTCTAGGCTGGGATGCCGAGGAAAGAGTGAGGCACATGGGGTTGGAGGGTCAGGGAAAAAAAAAAAAAAATTGGCAAGTCCCCACCCTCCTTTTCTTTGACTTGTCTAAAACTTAGCTCTGGCCTTGGGACTGGATTCGTAACTTCTGTCACTTTGAAGGACAGACACAGTGCAACCTCTCTGAAATTTTAGTCCATTTGCCTTTAGAGACGTGAGACTCCTCCTACAGCTCTCTAGAGGAAAAAACAAAACCCAAAGACCTTGACCCAGCATGGCCTAGAGCATCTGGGGGACCCAGGCAGTCTCTCTCTCTTCGTACTGGGTTGGTCGTTTCCAAATTCCATAGGCAGTTTTCACCTCTCACTGCAGAGAGGAGCAGCGGCTGCCACAGCAGTGAAATCGCACTTCTGATGCCAGCGGATGTTGGGGAGTCCCCGAGAACATTCCCATGGTTGGTGATGTGTCGGGAGAACTGTGTGCACAGTTGTCCTCACCACTGTGAGTTCTTACAACCAAGGGATGCAAAACAAAATTCCAAAGGAAGCAAGGCGCAAATTTCTCGTTCTTTCAGCAGCAAGCGGTGACAACATATTACCTACTTGCTCATTAGAGTCCCAGTTTTGGGGGGAGGGGGAAGGGGTGGGTAATGGGTGCTAGTTATGTAGTCACACTCTGCCAAACATACCAAAATCGTGCACCCCCACAAGGAAAACAAATTTTGAGCACTGCCACAGTGCTTGTGCAGAATTACAGCGCAGTGAGTCACTTTGATCAGCTAGGGTGATGGGAACCGTCCCAGCAGCTTAATTTCTCACATTTCAGCCCAAGACACACCTTGCAAGGATAACAGCTTTCTCTCTTAACTATGTCCTACATAGCATCTGTATTAAACTTTTGTTGAAAATTAGTAACTAAAAGGTCT